CCTCTCCCTCTCCCCCTGCTTGTGCTCTCTCTGTCCCTTTCTCTCTCAAATGAATAAATAAATTTTTTTTAAATATATTTAAAAAAACACAAAGAAATATACGAATAAGTGGATTCAGGTACTGAAAATTCCTCTAAGAAGACAAAGTAAGTTAGGAATATGGTTGGGGGAGGGGATGCTGAGATACCCTTCTGAAAAGATAGCATTTGAGTTGGGATATTTGTAACTGGTGTATTAAGATGTCTTGATTAAGGTATAAATATAAAATTATTTGATTTCTTACAAATACTGTCCCCAACGATGCTGTATTTATAGCACAGTCCTGTTCAGGATAGGCCCTTATAAACCTGTGGGGAACTATATGAGTAAAGGTCCATCCAGAAGATAAAAAGTTCTTTATAAGTATTTGAAACAGAGGAAATTTGCTGCAGACAATTAGTCACGCAAGTGATTGAAAGGCCTAGAAACTGAACAGGGCACAGTAAGACTCTCCAGATATTATCAAGAGAGGCATAATGGAGGAGGATGTGTTACCAAAGTCCAGAAGCCAGGAGCAAACAGCAAAAGTTGGGCCATGCTAGGCTGGGACTCCTAAAGGAAGAAGACCCCACAGCCAGAAATTGCACTGGAAGCAGAGAGGATGGAAGAAGAAGCCTGAACTTGTTCTTTCCTCCTGCTTTCCAATCCCTCACCTACCAAAAGTAGCCAGAAGTCAGCTGACCCAGAGGCTTGGGCTGCGTGGCCTGCCGGGATCAGGTCCCCAACCCCCAAGTTTGAGAAAGGGTGAGAAATGTACCTTGAGGGCACATGGGCCCAGGACGGACCCAGGAAGATTTCATGACCTCCTGGGTGATTACAAGTCCAGTCTACCTTTAGACTTCAATCTCAAGTGGTTTAAATCTCTGCCTCTCCTGAGCTCGGATGCCGACTACTCGGAGTGGAGATGGGGACGGAGTGCGATCAGGTTCTGGGATATCCCTCCCCTGCTTCTGCAAGGTCCTGCTCTCCCAGTGTGTTTGTGGAGAGCAGAGGGAGAGGAAACTGGACAAAGTGCCTTTACTCACCTGGCCACAGCTGTCAACAGCAGGTCTTTCAGGGACCCCTTCTCTATGGCTGATTCCTTGGCGCCTCCCCAGTATTTGGCTTAGGGGGAGGATCACCTCTCATTACAAACACTGCTCTCCCCACAGAGCAGAGGATTCTGGCTCTAGCCCACCTTTTTTCCCTCTGTCCCAGTCCTCCCATGAAGATTCGAAAGGAGGCATGGAAGACAGCTGATAGGGACATCCTGACACCTTTCAGTAAGCCCCAGCAGGGGAAACTGGTGCTATGGGGGTGGGGTTAGATGGGGGTGGGGATGCTTAGAACCTCTGTCCTCATCTCTGGGCTTTAGCTGGAAATCCTGGACAATAAGAAAAGTCCCACTGAGTATCCTGTTACCTTTGAACAATGGAAAGGGGATGGGTTTGCAAAGATCTGGGGGAAGAGTGTCCCAAGAAGGAGGAACTGCAAAGGTAAAGGCCTTGAGATGCAAACTCGGTTGGTATGTGTTAGGGGCAGAAAGAAGCTGGTAGAGCTGAAGCGAGAGACGGTGAGGGGGAAGACAGCGCTGGCCGAGGGTGGATGGTAGGCAGCGGCAGACCACCCACGCTCCTGCCAGCTAGGGTAAGGCATTTGGATTTTGTGTCTGGTTGCTCTGAGCAGCCACTGGAGGTTTTTAAGCGGGAGGGGTACACGAACTGGTTTTATTTATTTTTTGGAGGCAGCAAATTATACAACTGAGTGTATCAGTATGATATTTTCCACTGTCAGAGAACACAAAACCAGCATTGACTCTTCATATACACAAAGAGAGTCTCACAAACACATACTCGCCTCCTGCTGCTAGCATTCGTTTTATTATTGACATGGATAACAACTATCTAGATGTTTGCTCTCAGCAGATCCGTTAGGTTTGACAGTGTATGAACTGATTTTTTGTTTTGCAAAGACCACTGTGACGTCTGTGTGCTGAATGGACTGGGGGGCAACATGGAGGCTAATGGCCTGGTTTGAAAACCGTCACAGTGATTTAGCTGAGACGCCATGATGTCTTGGGCCATGGCTAAGCCGAGTACACAGTGAGAAGTGGGCAGATTTGGGTTGGATTTAGGAGGAGCCTCCTGAAAGGGCTCGGTGGTCAGAGAATGATTCCTGGGGTTTGGGCCTGGCCAGTTGCCTGGATGGTGTCCCTACTTCCTGGTATGGGAATGACTCCCCAAGTCATAAGTTATGGTTGGTTGGTTGTTTTCTTCATTGTTGTATCCCCAGGATCTAAAAGAGACCTGCCATTTAGTAGGTGCTCAATAAATATGTGTTGAATAATTGAAAAAGCAACAGTTGTATCAGGTTATAATTGAGAAGCCGATGAGACCTACTCATTCTCTTCCCGTCTATGACTAAATGATGCATGAAACCACTCCCTATATGTTTGCAAAATTTTATTTTTAAAAAAATGGAACGGGGAAGCAATTCCCGGTTGTCATTAGCTAACTACCTATATCCAATCCTTCTGGACAGAGACGGCAAAAACTCACTTCTCTGGCAGAGGAGGAAATTCCTCTGCCCTCCTCGTGGTCCTGCCTCTTGGGGGCCTTGGGGGAATTCCACTGAGTAAACCAGACCCCATAGTGGAGGGCTTTCCTCTCTTGGCCACAGGCCTGGAGGAGTGTCCATTTCCTGGGGACTCAGCTTCCTGGCCGGAGCTGGCTTGAAGCTCCAAGCGATGAGGAAGGTCCACGCAGGCCCTGGGCTGTGCTGCAGTCAATGCTGCTTCAAGACGAGATGCTTCCTCTTTACTCCAGTACTCTCCTTCCCAGCCGCAGATTACCGCTTTTGCAATTCTTCAAGGAAAAAGGTCATCCAACGCTCTGTACCCTTGGAATCTTACTGTGAGGAGAAAGGGCTTCTCTTTTATGTGTCTGCCGATCCCTTCCACTTTCAAACAGCCCAGCTTTGATGGAAGCATCCTTTTTGATAGAGCATAGACGACCCATTCCAACATCCTGACATCTTTTGACGGAGACTTCTTGTAACAGCTGCTGACAGCACAAGGCCTGGAATACCAGCTTCTCTCCCCAGGAAAGGGGACTCCTGGTGCCTCTGCACCACCTTGCCCGAGCCAGTCCCACCTTTTAGGGTCTGTTACCTTATTACTTACAAATCCCCATGTGTGGGACCAATTGCTGTATGATTCAGGCTTCCTTGGATGTGGGACCGAAATCCAGTTAACACTCGCTTACCTAGAAAAGGAGAGTTACTGGTGCTTGTACAAAGGTGGGGGAGGGGGGCAGCATTGGGATCACTGTGTCCAAGTAAACAAATTGTGTTGTCAAGGTTTTCGCCCTCGACTCCCGTGCCTTGCCCTGCATCACTCATCTTGACTTTTCTGTGTGCTCAGGCCCCATTTTCCCTTACTTGGGGTGGCTTCATCCTGGCGAGGACAGGGCACAGGAAGCGTGGCCACCAGAAGCTCCTGACCTGTTCTTTAGCTCAGCTAGGCCGAGGCAGTGAGGAGGCTGCTCTCTCCTCCCCGTGCTCAACCTCATGTAAGTCCCAGCGGCTGCTCCGGCCCCCTCCCCCAGTGCCCTCCCTCGGGCTCCAGGCTGCGGGACGGGGGTCTGTGATTGGTCAGGCTTCGGTGGCGTCATCGCCCGGGGAGGGGGTCCGGAATCTGCGACTGGCAGCCCCACCAGAATGGAGCAGATTTTGAAGCAGGGGAGGTGAGACTGCCGGTTCTGTTAAGTCGGGAAAAGGAGTTAGGCAGGCAAACACAACAGGAGATCGGATTGAATGCAGTCCAGGAACCGAAGAAAGAGTGCGCGCTCGGGCTGGTTTTGTTTTCTTTGCTAACTTAAACCAGAAATGCGCGTTGTGGGCAGGAATTGCAACGAGGAAGTGAGCGCTACGGCTTCCTCCGTGGAGACACGTACGAGCGTACGACCGCGGGTTGGCGGTGAGAGAAGGTCCTGCCTTCGCACCAGCCGGCCCGAGGCTCTGGGAGGTGGGAGCCGCTTCAGGTGATGACTCAGGGCGCTGTGTCATGCCTTCCTCGGTTCTGCTCTGTCCGATTCTCCTAAGCCAAATAAATAGGAAGTGTGGCAGACTGGATCCTTTTTAGCAGCAGTGCACTTGGGTTTGTTTTCATGGGCATGAGTCCACTGGAAAGCAATTATTTTCTCTTGCCTTCTTGCTGCATCAGAGAAATGGAGCAGTTTTAAAGAGAGATTTCAAAGAAACCATTTTGTAACTTACAAAATGGAATCACAGACTGACTGCCAAGTTGGCTGTGCTGGTATGTCAGGACTGGTTCTTTTTTGAAAAAATAAAACTGTGTATATTTAAAGTGTACAGCATTTTGACATACATATACATAGTGAAAAGATTACTACAGTTAACCTAATTAACATATCCATCTCTCCACGTAGTTACTATTTGTGTGTATTTGTGTGTGTGTGTGTACAGGAGAGCACCTGTGATCTACTCCCTTAGCAAATTTCCGGTATACAATACAATATTATGTTTTAAAAAGATTTTATTTACTTATTTGTCAGAGGGAGAGAGCACAAGCAGGGGAAAGCGTCAGGCAGAGGGAGAAGCAGGCTCCCCGCTGAGCAGGGAGCCCCATGTGCGGCTCCATCCCAGGACCCTGGGATCATGACCTGAGCTGAAGGTAGACGCTTAACCGACTGAGCCACCCAGGCGCCCTCAGTGTTTTTTTAATATATTCACAAGGTCGTGCAGCCATCTCCTCTCTCTAGTTCCAGAACATTTTCATCGTCCCCAAAAGATACCCTGCACCGATGAGCAGTCATTCTTTCCGTCCCCCAGCCCCCACCCCAGACCTGGGCATGCAGATATACTTTCTATCTCTCTGGCTTTGCCTACTCTGGACCTGTCATACCCATGGAATCACACCACATGTGGCCTTCTGTGTCTGGCTTCTTCCCCTCGGCGTAATGTGCTCCAGGCTCGTCCGTGTGGTAGTGTGCGTCAGCACTTCCGTGCTTGGCTGAGTACTGGCCCTCGGTGTGTACACACTACGTTCTGTTGATGCGCTCATCGGCTCACGGACATCTGGGTTGTCCCCGCTCCTTGGCTATCGGGGACAGCGCTGCTATGAACAGTCGCGTACACGTTCTTGGTGGACATATGTTTTCGAGTCTCCTGGGTGTGTACTCCTAGGTGTGGCCTTGCCGGGTGGCAGAGACTCGTGTTCACTCTGTTTCGCCTTTCGAGGACCTGCTAGCCTGCTTTCCAAAGTGGCTACCCCATTTTTGCGTCCCCTCCAGCAGCGCCGGCAGGCCCCACTGTCTGCTTACTCTCACCCACCCTTGTTATTCTACCCGTTTTATTCCAGCCAGGCCCGTGCCCGTGAACTGATAGCTCGCCGTGGTGTTCATTCGCCTTACCCTAAAGTCTAATGACGTGGAACATCTTTTCATGGGTGGGTGGGAACTTCTTGGCTGCTTTGTCAACGCCTGGCCCTGAGGGGACCCGAGGACCAGCGTTGATTCTAACCCTCTATAAAAATCTCCCTAACCATAGCTGCCTCACTTCCTCCAACAACAAATGGGTGAAGTAGAAGAAAATCTCCCTTTACTGAACATTTACCAAGCGCCAGGCACTCCGCTCGTTACTCTCCTCCATCATTTCATGGAATTCTCACAAAGCCCTTCAAGGAAGGTGTTAGCATCTCCATTTTAGAGGTGAGGAAAGTGAGACCCACGGGATGTCTCCAAGGTCGCACGCCTAGTCAGGGGCACCGACGGGATGCGGACCCAGATCGGTGTCACTCAAAGCCTGTGTTCTTTCTCCTCGGCCCACGGTGGAAAAGCAGCAATCATAGCATGAATGTGTCACTGTTGCTAGTATTGGCATGAGCCATGTGTAGTGGAAGGATACCCCGGGAAGGGAAGTGTTGGGGGCATCAGGGAGAACCTTACACAGGAGGTGACTTTGGGACTGGGCCTTTCACTTAGCCTGGGGCTTTTTTGGCTGCAAGTGATAGAAATGTAACTCAGACTAGCTTAAGTAGAAGGGAAATGTTTTGGATGTGAAGAAGGAGGTGAATCATTCTTTGTGGGATGGGCCGGCCTACAGCGGGGACCTTAGGCTCAGCCAGAACCAGGGATTCAGCCCCTGCGAGGATTCTCTGGCCATCTCCTGTCTCGGCTTCTCTCTATAGGCTAGCTTCACGTTTCTTCACCACAGCCCACATCCCCTGCACGGTGGGAAATATGGTTACTGACAACTCAGACTTCCGACAGTCAGCTAGAAATCTTGGCCTTCTTTCTCGGTTTTAGTTTGCAAGGTCCCGGGGTGGAGAGAAGTCCTAAGGAAGAATTCTGACGAGCCTGGCATGGCCCAGAGGCCCAACCTTGGACCAGTCAGCTGTGGCCAGAAGGTGGGATCACATGAGAACAGGACAGTGCCTTCTGAATCCAAATGTTTGTAGAGGGGGAAGGGAAAGATCTCAAGAGAAAGAGAAAGTGAGGATCCTGGCCCCACAAAGAGAGAAGGTGCTGGGGAGTTAAAACCATAGGTGCCACCGTAACCCTGGGGGATGAGCAGCAGTGGCAGGAGGAGGAAGGACATTACAGGATGCAGAGAATCTGTTGTTCATAGCAGCTCTACATGAGATGCTGCCCAGGGCTCCTCGCCCCACTGACTAAGGACTGCCTCTCACCTAATGCACGGCCAGCCACAGCTTACAAAATGTTCTCCTATCAGTCAGCCCACTTAATCTTCACAGCGACCCTGGGAGGGAGAGGAAATGGCTATTACTGTAAAACTCATTTCATGGATGAAGACCCTGAGGCTCAGAGAGGTTAGGAGACTTGCTCAAGGTCACAAATACTAGTCGAGGCTCGGCTGGGGTCCAAATCCAAGTCCTCCGACCCTCTCTTCACCAGACATTCAGCATCTGTGTAATGATTTTCAAGTCCTGTGTCAGAACTGTGGACTTAACTTGCACCTGAAAAATCTCAGAATGATTTTACTGGGACTTGCAAAAACATCCTGAAGTGCCAAGAGCTTTGCAGATTTTTAGGGGGGACAGGGTTTGGAGAGGTAGAAGGAGAGCACGGGCCGGTGCATTTTTCTAGGGAAGAGGGCATGGACTCTTCAAACACTGCAAACCTCTGGCTGGATGCTATGCAGTTTGTGCAAGGCACATCCCTAGTTTCCATCTTTTCTCTGTTCTCACCACAGCCTAGTGAAAAGGAAAAGCTGGTTTACATTTCCCAGGTGAAGAAGCAGGGGTTCAGGGCTTACTGTTTCCCTGAGATCGCACAGCTGAGAAACGACAGCTCAGGGGCCGCAGTCTGGGTCTCCCGGCCCCAAGGCCAAGGCTCCCGTAACTGTTGCAAGGTAGTGCGCTACCTTGCCCCGCTTCTGCAGCCCAGCACCTTCTCTTTCTCTTTCTGAGCCTGCTTCCTCTGTTCAGCAGTTCCCTGCTTGTTTCTAGGCTGAGGTAACTTGCATGAGTCCGGACATTTTTAGAAACTCCACTCAGACTGACCTGTACAAACATCAGAAACAACAGGAATTCATTCACTTACAAAGCTGAGAAGTCCTAGTGTGGTTTCATCCAGGGCTATGGTCAAGAATCCTGGCTCTTTCCCAAACCTGTCACTGTGGCTGAGTCCCGGGCTGGGCCCAGAGGCCCCCAGGTACCCTTTGCAAGGCGAAGTGCTCTGCGGCGCTCTGAACGGGGCTGTGAGTGCTCCCCTCGGTGACCAGCCGACACTGGAGCCGTTTTGCAGAGAGGGTGCCTTTTTGTAACTCCTCTTTTCTGCTTTGTCTTAGCTGTGGCCCTTCCAGGCCCACCCGGCCCTCCAGGACAGCCAGGGCTTCCCGGATCCAGAAATCTGGTCAGTGTTCCTATCAGTGTGCATTCCTCCTTCTGCTCTGGGTGGGTTTCCTTAGAACTTCAGCTATAAGTGTGTAGGGGCTGGCACAGCTTTTAGGTAAGAATTAGGCCCCTGTGGCCATAGAATTGGAACAATTCCACACACGGGGGGTATATATGATCTCTTTAGGTGACTTACCAAGTACAAAGATACAGAATACAAACTCAGTTATGACTTCGGTTCCACCCTTCTAATCCTTAATTGACTAAGCTGTCACAAGAACCAATTTGATTACATCCAAAACCATAGGCACCAGAGTATCAACAAGATCCCAGCAGGCCCCGTGCTGGTCAGATCTCCCCTGGGTCATTCCGCCTTCTCGCTCCTTCCCCGGGGTTATCTTCCGTACCTTTGTTACCCTGCACACCGTGGGTGTGGAGTGTAGCACTCTGAGATTCTTACTATGCACAGGAAGAGGGACAAACACCTCACACGGATGTCAGGAGTCCTGGAAATGCTCTGGGATCTTGGCTGGATTTTAGTTGGAAAATGTGGCTGCCAAAGGAAAAAACCATCTAGCGGCTGACGGAATGTTGCTATCTCGCACCTTTGGGGGATGTCTAAGCCATTTCAGTGCACAAAGTCATTATTTTCAAGGCTAGGTGAAAATTAACTTTTTATGATCTTTCTCAGTTGAGATGAAAAATAAAAGCTCTCTTGGCCAATATTTCTCAGAGGTGTGATGCTTTTCAGTAGATTTTGGTAGCTTTTGTGGCTGCTCTTGGATTTGCCAAGATGGATGGCTAATCTTTGGCCGTTTTCTGGACCGAGAAATTACAGACCCCCACTGCCTCTCGTATGTATTTAATATTACAGCTACCCAGCTGGGCCAAAAAGATTCAAAACCTAAGCAGAATTGCTCACCGGCTTGCGTTTCTTATTCCAAATTAAAACAAACTCGAAACTCTTTAAGGACTAGCAGGAGTTAAACACATTTAACAACGTCAGGGCCACCGAGTGGCTCACACAGATGCAAGTGGGAAAATGTACCCATGGTTTTGCTAATACCAAGACCCAAGAAAGACAACTCTGTGTACAGTTTCTAACTGTCTTTGTGCTCCTGGAATATCATCTTCCTGTTTTCATTGATTTATTACAGTTCAGATTTGTGCTCCAAACCAGTTGGTGTTTTTGTTTCCTCATAAAGAATGTCCTTTGGCTATGAATGAAGTTACATATGTCTCTAAGGCACAAAGAGCCTTTTCACTGGCTGTCAGGGGATGGCTCCCGTTTGAATTCGTGACGGCCGGTTTTTCAAATCGTGTCACCGCTCTAACGATAACGGCACTGTTGGGAATGGAAAATTTTCTGACAGGTTACGGCATTTAGCACCATGGATGACATGCTGCAGAAAGCACATTTGGTCATTGAAGGGACGTTCATCTACCTGAGGGACAGCACTGAGTTCTTCATTCGGGTCCGAGATGGTTGGAAGAAATTACAGGTTAATTCTTGAGCTTCTTTTTAACAAACTGCCTCCAGATACCCTCTAAAAATAATAAACTGCCCCTGGAAATGCCATTTTTCCGGTTTTGAAAATAGGCTAACAATCTCTAGTGGATGTTTCATTTTCAATGTACTGTTTTCTTGAAGCTAGGAGAACTGATCCCCATTCCCGCCGACAGCCTGCCGCCCCCTGCGCTCTCCAGCAATGTGAGTAGTCGCCCTGCCTTACTTATCGCTCCTTTGCTCATCAGCATCCACAGAATCCCCCTTGGTGTCCAGAACCAAGCTCTCCAAACTCTGGCCAGCCAGCTCTGCATGGTTTAGGATTTGGCGGAAGGCCAGAAATTACCAAGTGCCAACAGAATGTTCTCACAGGAGAGCAGAGCAGGGACCGGACCCAGAGGCTAGAGACCTGCTATTTCCGTGTCGTAGCTGAGTCCTCTTGGGCAATGGGCTTCCAGCCCTTCTAGGCCTCAGTTTATTCCCCTGTGAAATCATGGTTGGCATACGCGATCTAGAAGAGCCCTTTACTTTTTGCACTCTGAGACTTCTTTGCCTGATAAGAACATTGGCAACTTCCGTTGTCCATTTTTTTTGGCCCTACAGGAACCCTTTGAGGCAGGTCTTGCTATCCCCAGCCTGCCGTTCAGGAAACTGAGGCTCTGAGTTGCTGACTGCTCTGTGCAGTGGATGAGTTGGCACTAAGACACAGGTCTTCTGCTTCCTCGGTTCAGTGCTCTCTGTAAAAGATGGCAGAATATCCCCTCCCTTCCTGAGGGTCATGTCTTCATGGGGGGGGCGGGGCATGAAACTCCTGGCAGTTAAGAGTGGCCCGAAGACAATGACAGACTATGTAAAGTATCACACTTGCACCTCAGTGCGCTCTGAAGAACAGATTGGATGCTTATTCAGGACCGTTTGTTTTCCTCTTTTATATAACAGCCACATCAGCCTCCACGTCCACTGATGCCGCTTTCAAGTGTCAGCTACGAGAGGCCTGCAGTAAGTGCGGTTCGTGCATTTTCCCTGCACATGCTGCGTGCGTGTCTAGTGTGTGCTTGCTGCGTGCTTGGAGCACGGGCCCTCCCCTCGAGGTGCATAGAGAGTAGCAAGAGGGGCAAACAGGTAGTTACAACAGTTGGTAGGTCAGTGAGGCGAGGTGCACACAGGGTGCTGGGGGTACGAGGAACGTCAAAGAATTCTGCCTTCTTTAGAGGAGGGAGCCTCTAAACTAAGACCTAAAGGAAAGTTGAGAGCAGGAGAGAGCCAGGTGGGAGGGAGAGAGTGGGCATATTCAAGGCAGAGGGGATTTGGAACAGCAGGGGTCAAGGGGGAGTGCTGGGCATTCGTGTAAGTGTAATGGCAGGTACTTCAGCCTGGCTGAAGAGGCAGGTTTTAAGGCAGAGAAGGGAGAAGTTTAGTCTGCAGAGGACAAGGGCTTGTCATCAAGGGCCTGTAAGCCAAGCTAAGGGCTTTGACCTGTTGCATCAGATAATGGGGAGCTACTGAAGGGTCTTAAACAAGGAAAGGGTCTCTAAGATTGGCATTTCAGAAATTACCTTGGTTACAGTGTACAAATGGATCGGCAGGGACAGGCCCGGGGCCCAAAGACAGTTAGGTGGCTGTTGTAGTCTTTGAACCAGGATCACAGCAGTGAACATGTCGAAAAATAAGATTGGAGAGAAAATAAAAAGGCAGAAGTGACAGATTTGGTCCCTGGTATGGATATGGGGCCGTGAGGATGAGGGAGATCAGGAATGATGCCCAAGTTTCTGCTTGGATAATTGAGTGGTGCTGGTTTCCCTCCCAAGGATCATTTTGTGGCCAGAATGAAAACTCTGACTCTTTTCCTTTACTAGCTTAAGTGAAGATCTTGTTCAGATAATTGCAGGAACCTCCTGACACTCAACGGCAGGAAGTACAACTGGGCCTGTGGGCCTCCTGTCCCTGCTGTTAGCCTGCTCCCATACAGAGCAGGTTCTGCAAGGCCTTTTCTTCCTGCCTCCTCTCCACCCCCATCCCAACACACAGACATAGGTCACCTCCACAAAGCTTGCATGCCATGTTGAGTTGCCGTGGCGCTGATCATGGCCTCAATTCCAGGTGATCTTACAGCTGCAGAGCCCGGTACCGCCTGACTCAGTTCAGGGTCTGGGAGAGGTTGTCTACATAGGTCATCTTGGCCTCATTGCCCACTCCCCGCCAAATCAAAACCAAGAGAATGAGATTGAATGGCCTAAGGCCACTCTTCTGAGCAAGTGTTGTGGGGGCATTTTCAAAGAACAGGGCCTGGGCTCGCACCGAAATGTGTTTCCTGTGGTGTTGCCACTCATCAGGCAGGACCTCATCGGGGCACCAGTGAGTCTGAGGTCCCCGTAGGATATGTGAGTGGAGGCCGCCCAGAGGGAGTCGGATCGGGGGGCCTGGTCTGGAGATAAAGACCTGGGAGGCTTCCTCCGAGCCATGGCAAGGGTGAGAGGGGTGGTGGGATTCCCAAAAGAGTGTCTGCACATTGAGCAGACATTGGAGTGTGAGGAGCAAAAGCAAAAAGGAACCGATGGAAGAACCATGGGGACAAATAGAAGCCATAGGCCCCAAGAGGAAGAAAGAATGCCAAACAAGGTAGAAGCCAGCAGCGTCAGGTGCTGCCAAGAGGTCCGTCAAATGAACAAAACGGTGTCCTCCAAATTTAGAAGGCAGAGAAGAGCATATCTCAGGCATGGGGGGATGCCAGCGAGATTCCAGTTGCTTGAGGAATAAATGGGAGGTGAGATAAGGAAAGAGAGAAGCGTGTGGAGGTAACCCTTCCAAAAGCTCAGCCATGAAGGGGAGAAATTAGGGCAGCAGCTGAAGGATTTTTTAAATAGTATTTTATAAATTCTAAAGTCATACATATTTTGTAGAAAATTTGGACAGTAAATAAAAAGAATGGAGAAGGAAACAGCAAATCCCCGATAACTTTACCAAAACTACACCCATCCCCCAGATCAACCTTTTAACACTTGATTGTTGAAACAGTATTGTCTTCATAAAAACGATAGCATATTTGTTATTAAAAATGTCCCAGCCCTTAGAGAAATACAGACATGAGGACACAAAAGCCCCCAGTCTCGCCATTTGGAAACAACCATCCTTCCAGACAGTTCTTTATGTTTCTTTGTAAAAAAGGAGAGGTGGAGATGTGTAGGATTGGAGGCATGGCAGGGAAGCTCTGCACGTACCTCTGTACCTTCCCTAGGTGTCCCCTGCTATGGGCACGCCATCTTCTGCTGACCACCCTTGGGTCTAGCCAGCAGAAGCGTGCTGGTTGGAGGGTGATGAGACCATGGGGCCTCATCCCTGGGGTGCTGGTCTGCAGATCCGTGGGGGGAGGAAGACAGAGCTCGTGTGGGGCTGCAAGTCTGGTGGCCTGAAAGCGGTCATGGTGAGTGAGCAGGATGCTGCCGCCCCCTCCCCATCCTCGGGCTGCTGCTGGGGGCGCTGCAGGGGAAGCCTTGTCTCAGGTGGGGGCAGGGGGTGTGCTTGACCTGGACCTCTATCTAGTGTGGCGATACAGGCCGAACCAGGGATGAATAAACAGGAAGAAATTGGGAGGTGTGGCATGCGTGGAGTCTCTTCTCTTCAAAATGGGGAAGGAAAGGGGTGGCAAAACAGAGAAGAATGCCCCAAGAAGTGCAGGGACTGCATGGGGCGGTCTGAATGTTGTGGTTCACAGTGAGCTGTGCCCACCTGGCCGGACCCTTGATGAGCCAGAGAATGCCAATATGGCAACCCCTGGTGTCGGGCCATGTAGGAGCTTGGTGCTGGGGATGTTCAGACCGGAGAGGCAGCGCAGGAATGGAGAGAGAAGCACTGACCACCTCTTGCCTCGCCCCACAGGGCTCATTTCATGTCTTTTGGTTTAAGATATTTTGAAATATTTTTCTTTTCTGGAGACTTGGGCCCAGGGTCTGCACCAGCCCTCCCCAGCTCTCTGATGGTGAGATCAAAGTCACTCCTGAGGTGACAACGAGGAGGGAGAGGGCTACTCCTGGACACATGTACTCTAGAGGGCACAGCACGAAGGCCGGGAGAGAGGGAAGGGTTTAGGGAGAGAAAGTGTGAGAGAAAACAGACAATGGAAGGACTTTTATTTTGGCTACTGCCTAAGGTGGCAGGAATGTGAGGCTCGTGTTACAGTGTGACCCCTCATTCCTAAAAGGGTCTACCCAGCAGTCTTAGCAAGAAATGTCATAACCTTCTCCTTTCAGTGCCTTTCCCTCTGGTCCCTCACGATCAGCCCCAAGCCTACTCCGGAGGTAGAGGAAAGGGCAAGGCCAGATTGCTTGGTGGAGCTCTGGGATCCAGTACCAAAGCTGGCTTAAAACCCTCTTGGAAGCTGAACTAGGGCAGACCCAGGAGTCTCCAGCAAATGGCCTGCACACTGGATTCAGATCTCTGAAGTGCTTTATTTTGTTTTGTTTTCTCCCGAACGGAAGACACTGCCACCGTGTAGAGCGGTTCAGAGAGCCGAAGCCGGCTGCTTGGGCTCCGAGCTCTCCTGCCCGGGAGACGGTCAGGCCGGGGCTGGAACGCCACCCTCAGGAAGAGGCTCAATGAGACCACCTGTAGCGCCTTCCGTCCCAGGGAGTCCGGGGTCGTACTAGCAGCCTGAGATGGGCATGCGGGTTGGAGTTTGCTTCTAACTCTTTTAACTCTCACTTACTTTTTTAGCTGCACTTGGTTGCTCTGAACACACCATTCTCCGGGGACCTTCGAGCTGATTTGCAGTGCTTCCAGCAGGCCAGGGCTGCGGGGCTGTTGTCTACCTACCGGGCCTTCTTATCCTCCCATCTGCAAGACCTCTCCACGGTTGTGAGGAAAGCAGAGAGATACAGCCTTCCAATAGTGAACCTCAAGGTAAACGTAAATATTCTCCCCATTGTCTCCTGGAGGCCCTGGGCTCCACAGGGACCATAGGAGCTGCCACTCCCTGACATCATCAGAAGTGTGCTGGTTCCAGACCCCGCCTGTCCCTGTTTGGCTCTGTGCCTGGGTGGGTCAGTTGAACCTCTCTGTGCCTCAGTTTCCTGACATTTACCATGGTTGGATGGTACAACTGTTGGAGCAGACAAGTACAAAGAACTTTATACCCATTATCTTAATAGACGCTTCCAATAAAAGAGGGAGTTATTTTTTCCTCAGATTGTCAGATGTGGAAACTGAGGCACAGAGGGAGAAAGGAGTTTGCCGGAAGTCACTAGAAACCAGAAGTCAAGTCCTTGACACCCAGTCTGGGGCTCCCAGTTCCACCCGAGGCTGCTCTCTGTAGGGCGTGGGCTGGACAGCACCAGAGAAGAACTGGTGAGCACTGGTCCCAGACCAGAGCCACATTGTCCTGCCCCCTACTTTGGTCCTCTCGGCACATCTAAGCTGCCCGAACCTGGCAGATAATTCTCTGTCCCCTTTCGCTGGTGAGGCAGGGCCTTGTATGACCCCCTGTTCCACCATGGAAATAGCCGGCTCCTTCAAGGCCACAGAGGGACAGCTCTCTTTCTGCTCACACACATCCTAGACTGGGATCTCTCACTGTATCTCACAGGTACTTCGAGACCCTTAAGTCCCTGTGACCCCCATGCTCCAATTTGGTACCTCTGGACCCCACACCTGGCCCTTTCTGTCTCTTTCCCTGAGGTTCTGTTCTGCCACATTCGCCCACTCAGAGGACTGGTATTCTAGGAATACAAATAACTGAAGGAAACTGGGCTCCTTCAGGAAAAGGAGTGAGAGAGTCATCTCTGTATCACCTACAGTGCAGATTGGACAAGCCCTGGCACAAATGTGAAGTTTGGCGTATATATATGTAGAAAATTTTTAAAGGCAAAAATTAATAAAGACCTAAAACACAGTTTTGATGGGGAGGAGCCTTTATACACCTATAATAAGAGAAAGTACCTCAAGAAATAAAGAATAAAACCAAAAGCGTTCAAGGATGGATTGTAAAATCAAACCATAGACATTTCCTGAGTTCCTGCTCTGTCCAGGCTCTGGGATTGGGGCTGGGGGCTTTGGCATGGGGTGGCCTCTGGGCCTTGAGGAATGAATAAATAGCTAGTCCACTAGAAGGCCCATAGCACAGTGACTCCATGTGCCATTTCTGTCTCCACAGGGCCAAGTACTTTTCAACAACTGGGACTCAATTTTTTCTGGCCACGGAGGTCAGTTCAATACACATGTTCCAATATACTCCTTTGATGGCCGAGACGTGATGACAGATCCTTCCTGGTAAGTATATGGTGTGATAGACAGTTTTAGGGGACATTCTAACAGTGGGGTGCCTTTACCAGCTGCCCCTTGGGGCTGTCGCTGGCACAGAGCCTCAGCGAGGCAGCTGAGAGCCGTGGACAGAGCCCCCGGCCTTGCAGCCAGGAGACCCAAGGCCAGTACCTTAATAAGGGACCTTTCAGATTTCCTCCGCTCTCTGAGCCTCAGCTGCCTCCCTGTGAAATGGGCAAGATCATCCTATCTGTACCACAGGATTGCTGTGAGCCTAAAATGGTAAGTGTGCGAATGTCTAACAGGCTGCAGGCACTCAGCAAGTGGTAAGGAACACTGTTCTTGGGGACCCTTTAACCCTGTACTGTGAGCTGGGCTCTAATTCTTTGGAAACAGTGTGTGCTATTAAGATTAGGACAACTTGGTTGGGGCGCCAGGGTGGTTCAGTTGGTTGAGTGTCTGACTCTTGATCTCGCCTCAGGTCTTGATCTCAGGGTCATGAGTTCAAGCCCCTCATTGAAAAAGAAAAGATTAGAACAACTTGGCAAAGCTTTCCTCAGTGTCTACCCTATGCCAGGCCCGATGCCCACCTGGAAGGCATAGTAATAAGCTACATGACCCCAAACCTTTACAAGGCTCACAGTCTACAGGGGAGGACAATCACCAACTAGCTACAGTTCTAGACGGAACACTGTAATTGTAAAATGGAGTAACAGATACTATGATGGGAGCATAGAGGAAAAATTTATCCTTATTTGGGACTGACAGTCAAGAAAGCAGCCTGTAAGAGGAGGCATATAATGGACTTTCAAAGACCAGAAGGAATCCCTGGTCTGAAAATGAAAGAGAAGCCACTCCAGACTAAGGGACCTTGTGAGCAAAGGTTCAGATTCACAAAAGCAGAGAGAATGGTCTGAGAGCAGGTACAAGCTTGGTGGGGTTGGAGGACAGGGTGTTCAGCTAGTTGGAAAGAGCGACGCTCCCAGTGGTGGGGTCAGACCATGAAGGGCTCAAGAGTTGGACTTGATTCATAACTTATGCCAATTTGTTCTTCGATGAGGTACACCACAAAGAAGTGACATATCAAAAGTAATGTGCCGCAATTCCTTTGCAGGCCCCAGAAGGTCATTTGGCACGGCTCCAGCCCCCATGGAGTGCGTCTTGTGGATAACTACTGTGAAGCGTGGCGAACAGCTGACATGGCAGTCACGGGACTGGCCTCCCCACTGAGCACAGGGAAGATTCTCGACCAGAAAACATATAGCTGTGCTAATAGGCTCATTGTTCTGTGTATCGAAAACAGTTTCATGACAGATGCCAGGAAGTAATGACCTTCCAATGATTCGTAAGCGTTTTCCAGTTTTTCTTATGTGAAGAGTTGACACTGAAATCTAAAAGGTTTAAATGTTGTAAATACTAGTTTTTTATTACACATTCGTCACAACAGCAACCAAAGAAAACATACCTCAATACACTCCAAACTGAAGACATAAAGGACTCAGATCAAAAATAAAATCTGATCCATCTGTTGGTGCTAGATTCTGCAGGAGACCCCATGCAGTGTGAACACATCCCAACACGGTTAAGAGCGAGTTGAAAACAAAGGCCTTGGCATTCTGCCCCCCCTGCATCCTTCAGAAAGTAATTTCCTCCTTTAACCATTGTTGCTGAGTGTAAGATGTCCTTCATGTTTTCTCACAAAGTCAGTGTTTAGACATGTTACCCTTTCTAAGTTATGTGCCGACTGAACGCTTTATTCTTCATGCTTTCATAATATACAGCCGTCCTTGGCTGTTCATACAGAGAGACAGAACTGCTCAAATGATCCCATTTGTATTTTCTGATATTACCAGCCTTTAATGTTTATTTCCTAAAATATTATTGCCATCGTGCTTTAGGCGTTTTATATTTTTACACAATCATATTTTAGTATGGCACCAGTTTATATAACTCTGACTTGCTGGAAAAGTTTAAACTCCAAATGATCTGAAACTAGAAGAGAAATAGCGCAAAATAACTACCTTTCCCTTGGTGGCCCTTCCCCCCACCCCCACCCCCCGATTTTATGACCTCCACGGGGCAACTCTCGGATTACAACTGCCGTTGAACCAACAGGTTCATGAGGATGAATTTTTCTGAGGCGCATATATCTTCGTGCTGTATACTTTGATTTTTTTTCCACGTAAGTGAACATAAAAACAGCTTTTCCAGGCACTTTCTTCTGTTTGACTCTTTGCCCTAAGTTCCTTTATTCTCCACTGCTGATGTGGAAGTGGCCCCGGGGCGGGTTTACTCACCCTGTCACTGCTACACAGCCCTCAGGAGATGATCAGAGAACAGGAGGATTTCCCGGCATGCTCCTGCGCGCCTGCCTGTTGTCTCCCCCTTGGTGGGGGCAGCGCGGGGTGGGCAGAAGAACCTGGGCAGGGCAAACGCGGTGAACCGTGACTGCCGCAACGCATGACCTTGGGCAAGCCTGCCTTGTTCTTTCAAGGGGGTTGGAATAAAAAAACCCTAATATCAGCTCCCAGCTATTAAACATCAGCCTTATTATAAGGCCCATTTACCTTTCTTAATAACCCTGCAACGTAGGTATTTTTAGCTCCACTTTACAAATGAAAGAAAAAAAAAGTTGAGGCTCAGGGTGTCACTTGTTCCAGGTCGCCTAACTGGTGAGTGGTGGGGCTACTTTCAGACTCGGTCTGTGTCAGCTCTTTGCAAGGAGCCACTGCAGGAGGCTGCCTGTCTGCCCCCTCCAGCTCCAAGTCTGTGATGCTCTGGCTCTTGGCTCGGCCCCGCAGGAGAGACAGAATCACCAGGCAAGGGGCATGCAGAGGGATACTTCCTCCCATTCAGCTGGGCTGGCCCAGAAACTCGGCTAAGAGAATCCACCCAAATAGTCCTTGAGGTAGGAAGGAAATTGAGGACAAAAAAGAAAAAAGCACACAGCCCAGAACCTCCACTTAGGGGCTTCCTAAATGGAAGAGTGATGAGAATCTCTAATGAGTCATAGAATCAAAGGCAGTTACAGGTTGGAAAGTCCCAGAAGTGGATTGTGGAGGACAGGCCCACCTACCAAATTGACGGGGGGCTGGGAGCTGCCTGGCACTGGACAGAAACTGAGAGAGGAGGGGGGCATGTGGCTCCTGAGGACGCGAAGTGAAGATGCCATCCATTTTAGTCAGAGCCCGCCCCATGCTGGTGCCAGGAGGGGAACCGAGGAAACCAGGAGGATGGATCACAAGAGCCCCTCTTACATGCCCTGCGCCTCCGGACTTGGTACGGCAGGCACTATGTTGTCGGAACCTGTGGAAAGTGCCAGAAGGAGACAGCGTGGGCTTCAGGGAACCGTCCGCTGAATGCTAGTCAGTAACGGGGACACAAGCCAAATTCACAAGCCAAAAACACAAAACAGCAAACACGCAGAAAGGAATGTATTGGCTCTGGAAACCAGGAGGAAGGATGGGGAATGCAAGAAACTCAAGTGATGTGGTCACTTAGTCTGTTCTGTGTGTGTGTGTGAGTGAGAGAGAGAGAGAGACTGTCTGCTGTCTTGCTTCTGCTTTTCTCTGTATTTGGCTTCCTTCCCTCCAGGGAGGAGCAAGAGTTCTTCGTGTGGCGGGGGTTGATCACAGACAGCCCCAGGCTTATGTTGCCCCACCACCGCAGAGACTGGCCTCAGAGGAGAGAGACTTCTCCCTTCTGGGACTATATTAATTCCCGGAAAGGACTTGATCCGGCCCACCTGGATTGTGTGCCTGGAACTGGGATCGGCAGCTCCACCCAGGATGAGCTGTGCAGAAGGAATGGTTCCTCCCCCCAGCATGTGAGGTTTACAATGACCAGAAAATGGGGACTCGGGAAGTCGAGAAAACAACAAACAAGCAAACAAACAAAAATCCCAGCACACACAGGAAGTGCCAAGTGTGGGCGGTGTGGTGGTGGATGAAGGACAGAGGTGAGATCTCGCTGGCCTTGAATTCTAGGCTAAGGCATTTGAACTTGATCCCGCAATCGGTGGCATATGTTGGGAAGATTTTAAGATGAGATATGGGATCAGGTCTTTGCTCGAGAAAAATCAAGTAGGTCTTTTGTTTATTCATTCATCCATTCCGAAATGCTTTTTGAATGATGATTTTGTACCCAGGACTATGTTTGGATTTGGAAGTTCAAAGACAGATGATGCTCCCCACTTTTTAAACCCACCAAACGCATTCTCTTGCCACAGACTGTTGCGGACCTCGTGTATATCTCCTTCTCCCCCAATTCCACAGAGACCTCACCAGTGAGGCAAGTGTATGTGCGCAGCCTCTGCCTAACCGAGCAGCTGGAGAAGCACTTTTCCGATTACTCCTTGAGCTCCTGGGTCGAGACACCCCTGAGCCCCTCACAGCTCTTCGATCCCCACTGGCTGACTTTCCCCTTTGCCTTCCACCTTATCCCCAACTTGCAGGACAGCAGAGTATAGGCAGGCCTTGATGTGAGTTTGAATTTGGACTCTGCCCCCAAAGAACCTTGTGATCATAGGCAAGTTACAGAAGATCGTCCCCTACACTCAACCTTTCCCTGCAGCTATTTCTTCATCTATAAAACAGAGATGGTAATGGGAAAACTACTCTCTATTGAGTTAAGTTGTTGGAAGCTCTAGAAAGGGTATTCTCACCCTGAGTAAGCATCCATGAGTGCTCACTGTCTTTGACCTACCCTGATGTTTCTCAGGAAGGAGGAGCTGGGGGTCTTGACTTGCCGGGTGATGTCTTCTAATCTGCCTGGTTTCTCTGCCTGACCTGAAGCCCAGGGCTTGGGCTCCACCTTACACGCTGGATACAACTATACCTGTTGGTGAAGATCCACTGCCCCGAGACCCTACGTGGGTGAGAGGCCCAAGCTTCTGGCTACCCTCGCCCTCTGCCCCTCCTCCCCATAATCCAACAGCTTAAGTGTTATCATCTGGCTCTGCAGGGGCTCCCGGATTCAGCTCTGGCACTGGGGCTGGATTCCTCCTGATTGACAGGAGCACGTGCTACAGTGACTATGAAATAGTCTGATGATCCCCCTGCCTGCGCCTGCCCGGCACCCTGAGTTCCAGAAAGTACCCAGAGTGCCCTGTTATCTGATATGTTTGTAGAGGAGATTGCATGCCCCACTCCTCCTCCCAGACTTGCTCTTTTTCCCTTGGGCCTTCTCTCAGTGAATGGCCCTGCCACCCAGCCAGCCGCCAAGGAGTCATTTATCTCTTCCTTCCCTCATTCATTCAACAAATATTAACTGAATGAATGCTTCCTTAGAAGTAGTAATACCAGCAACAACAACAACAATTTAAAAAAAAAGTAAGTGCTAGGAAGGTCAACAAAATCTAGATAGTTCCATGATGGCTACTTCTATTCTTCTTCTTTTTTTTTTTTTTAAAGATTTATTTATTTATTTGAGAGAGCGAGAATGAGAGAGAGTACATGAGAGGGGGAAGGGTTAGAGGGAGAAGCAGGCTCCTCGCTGAGCAGGGAGTCCGATGCGGGACTCGATCCC